CAAGAAAACAAAGATTGTCACCACTGCACCAATTGACAGCATCATGATAGATGGTGAAGAGATTGAGATTGTTAAAAGCTTCAGCTTGCTTGACTCCACAGTCAGCACTCTTGGTACCAGCAACCAGGATATCAAAAGAAGAATTGCATTAGGAAAATCCTCTGTCTGGAACCTCTCCAGAGTACTGAAGAACAATGATGTCAGTTTAGAGAAAAAGGTGCACCTGATCCTGGCCATGGTCTTTGCAGTTACTTGCTATGCATCAGAGAGCTGAACAATTAGTAAGGATGAAAGAAGACAAATTGATGCCTTTGAGTTTGTGGTGCTAGAGAAGGGTATTGAATATGGACCACTAGGAAAACAAACGAGTTTGTCCTGGAAATCGTTGAAATCAGGGTGTTCCTGGAAGCAAGGATATTGAAGCTTTGTCTAATATATTTTTGGCATGTTATAAGGAGAGGCCAGTCCTTAGAGAGGGACTTCATACTTGGAACGGTAGAGAGCCAGGGCAAGAGAGGAAGACCCTCCATAAGATGGATTGACTCAGTGATTGTGGTAATGGGGGTAGGTGTGTCAGAGGCATTGAAGTTGACTCAAGATAGAGCAGAATTCAGAGCTGTTGTACGTATATAGGGTCACTATATGTTGCAAACAACTCTATGGCACATATTAAAAAAAAAAACAGTGTTTCCTTGCTCTGTTTTACACTGAAGCCTCCTGGTCTTGGTATAAGCTTCACATGAGCACGATGAAGTGCTCTGGGATTCCCATTCTTCTCAACGTTAGCCATAAGTTGTTACAGTCCACACAGTCAAATGCCTTTGAATAGTCAATAAAACATAAATAGACATTCTTCTTGTATTCTTTACTTTCATCCAGGATTCATCTAATATCAGCAGTGATATCCCTGTTGCCACGGCCACTTCTAAATCTGCTGGTACTTTTGGCATTTTCCTATCTTTGTACTGTTCTAGCCATGTGTGTGTGTGTGTGTGTGTTTATTTTATTCTGATTTATTTACAAAATTTTATACATTGTTTTTTTTCACATAAGATCCTTCCCATTTTCTTCACCCCACCTGCCATCGAATTGTGCAGCTCTATGATTAACAACCAACCCCCCTCCCAATCTTTATCCCTCTATTTCCACCCTCTCCCCCACCTTGGATCTTCATACTCATCTACAATAATGGTTTTATATAATATTTGTCTTTGTGGGACTGAGTTAGTTCACTCAGCGTAATGCTCTCCAGTCTCTCCCAGTTAGTCATTTACAAAATCATTGTTCCTGCGTGCTGTGTACTATTCTACTGTATGAATGTACTATGACTTCTCAATCCATTCTTTTGTGGTTGGACATCTGGACTGTTTCCATGTTCTTGCAATGGTGAATAGTACTGTCTAGCCATTTTTTTGAATGATCTTTAGCAATATTTTGCTTGTATGTGATATTAATAGTATTGTTCGATATTGTCCCCTTTCTGTTGGATCATCTTTCTTGGGAATGGGACCATTATGTTTCACACATTCATATATATTCTATCTTTTTTATACTAATTTATTTACAACATTGAATACATTAAATTTCACACCAGATCCTTCCCATTTCCCTCACTCCACCCTCAAATTGTGCGACCCCATGATTAATCCCCATCCCCACCCTGGCACATCCTCACCCCTTTGCTTCCCCCCTACCCCCTTTGGATACTCATGTTCCTTCTACAATAATAGCTTGGAATATACCCCAAGACAATGAGAACTGAGGCACAAACGGACACTTGTACCCCACAGCAGCATCATTCGCCATCACAAGTACATGGAAACATCCCAGTTGTCCAACCACAATTGAATGATTGAGAAGTTATGGTATATTCACACAATGGAATACTACACAGCACACTGGATGATATTCTTAATGGCATCTCACAACTCATCTGGTCTTCAATCATTTTGGTTTTCAGTGCCTCAAACCTATTTTAAAAATCAGATGAAATAGATTCAAGATTAGTATTTTGGTTCTTATGGACTTGTTTTCATTTTCTTTGGCCTCAATTTGAGGCCTGGCCTAATTATAACTGTATTTTGTTTATTTGTTGTGGTTTGCTTTCTTTTGTTTTGTTTTTCATTTTCCCTGCTCTGGTGATTTAGTGGTAAGGAGTTGCTTCACTAAAAGAACTTTTTGTCGTTTGTCTTTTGTCTTTGCCAAAAACAAGTGGTTCAAACCCACTATCTGCTTCCTGGGAAAATGAATGATGGACAGTCCCCTCCTGTGTGATTTACTACCTCTGAAAAC